AAAACTCCAATTCAAATAAATTAATGCTTGAAAACGATTCAAATCGGTCGCCAAACCTGAAGTGTGTGGACCTGTGAGTGATTGCTCCCAACGATCAAAGCACTGCCTCTTAGTCTCGCATCGAATTTATTTAAATATAATTTTTTTTATTTAATAAATAATATAATATCTCGTATATTATGTTTTAGTTCTCATTGAATGTATTTTCTAAGTATTTAAAAAACTTTTACAAAAATAAATTATGAATCATTAATTTTAAAAGTGTATGAATTTGTGATCCATTCGATGTCTTTCGTGACATCAATGGGTTCTTTCATAGTTCTCTCGATGTACTCCACATTTAGCTCACTGTCGACCAGAATTATACTCCATGTCCTGCTACCATACGAGCGGAGGCCTTAGTGGTGTACTTAACGCAAGTAAAAGAGATTACTGAGTTACCGAAATGGGGAGGGAACTGAAGAGTAAACCAGCAGGTTTCCTATAGACTATATGTTTATTTAACTAATATTAATCATGTGAATTCTCAGTATTAGAATTGAGACTTTGTTGTGTCCGATAAGAGTCCAAAAATAGCTTCAATCAGTTCTGATTTAGAAGTTTTATTGTATTTATTGACGATCTCTTCGAACTTCTGTCTCCCGATTCGGTGTTTCGGCCAAAATTTTTCATCGATTTTATTGTTACCGAATATATAGACTCCTAAACCATATGACAAACCATTTTTATACATCAGTCAAACGGAAAATCGTATGAAAACCTGAGTTCAATTGAGTTGCCTTTTGAATAGAGTTTGAGAAAACAAAAGTTTCTATTGCTTTGGGTTTGACATGAATGGCAACCATTCGGAATGGATTATAATCCGACGATTCTTTGCTTATTTGGTCCAAATATGTTTGCGGCGAATCATTGCCCTCCAAGTAGTCCACCACAAGAAAGCCTCGACTTTTCTTATTGAAACAAATCTCATCTTTTGGCTGAAGAATATTCAACTCGCCTCCGGAATCACCACATGAATTGCGTTCATTTTCTCTAATGACTCAATGGCTTTACCCCTCCCTTGACTTCTCATTTGGTCGTCCAAAGGATATCTGATATACAAATAAATTGATTATAATTCTGTGTCAATTCGTGTCAATTCTTAGTATTAGAATTGAGACTTTGTTGTGTCCGATAAGAGTCCAAAAATAGCTTCAATCAGTTCTGATTTAGAAGTTTTATTGTATTTATTGACAATCTCTTCGAACTTCTGTCTCCCGATTCGGTGTTTCGGCCAAAATTTTTCATCGATTTTATTGTTGCCGAATATATAGACTCCTAAACCATATGACAAACCATTTTTATATACCGTACAGTAAAACTGAAAATCGCATGAAAACCTGAGTTCAATTGAGTTGCCTTTTGAATAGAGTTTGAGAAAACAAAAGTTTCTATTGCTTTGGGTTTGACATGAATGGCAACCATTCGGAATGGATTATAATCGGACGATTCTTTGCTTATTTGGTCCAAATATGTTTGCGGCGAATCATTGCCCTCCAAGTAGTCCACCACAAGAAAGCCTCGACTTTTCTTATTGAAACAAATCTCATCTTTTGGCTGAAGAATATTCAGAAGATTTGCAATCTTTCCACTCGTATTCATCGCAAGCCATGTCCCCCCTTCCCGTCCCTTCTCTAGATCTTTACCTAACCATTCAATGCAAGTATTGTTAGCATTAATAACGATTACAAGAATATTAATTATACAAATTTTTAATTAACTAAATTCTTCTAAATGTTTAATTAATAAAATAAGATATCAATGTTTCTTTTAATATGAAATA